ACAGAGAAAAAACATGTAAACCACAAGGAGAAACAAATTAAGATAACCAAAAAGAAACAGACTATTACAGTAACACCCCCCTCCGCCCCCCAACAGGTCGGCTCCTGACCCCCCAACACAAAGACACTTGACATGTGGGCGAAGGAGAAAAACAGTCATAAAGAAAAACACAAGGTCAAACAAAAAACGACAGGAAATGAGCCACGTTACATGTGGGTGGATCTGTTTTCAGCCATGTGATGGTCGCACGTTTCAATGCAGCAGAAAGTATCGTGTTTAAAGGGCAACGTTTTGTCCTGCTCTCCATCCCAGCAGGTCCAGTAGTGCCACTGTGGGATCAACTGTTGGAATACCTCCTTAAGGGTTTCAGATCCTTCTTTCCAGAATGTTTAAATTGGGACACAGACAAAATATGTGTCTATGTTTGGCACTGGTTGCTCCACAATTCCTCCAGCATACGTATGCTGAGGTACATCAGGCCCATCTTGGCTACAATGTCTGGTGTTCTAAAAAAAATCTAATGATCACTGGGGACTGCACCTATTGTCCTACACCTCGGGAGTGTGTCTATATTTCTTTCTCGGTTAATGCGTCCCGAACCACAGCGTCTACCCCCACAAAAGTTATATCAAAACGACCGGCTCGGCCCCGTGATGTGTGCTATTACTTTTATTTGTATTTCGAGTTACCATGGCGACGTAATTTGTGAACAAAGACGCAAGATTTCACCAACTCCAGGAACTAATTGGTGACTGCCCACTTATTATTCTACACCTGAAAAGCGTATCTTTTTCAACTTTAATGTGGCCCGAACCACAAAGTGCACCCTCACAAAATTATATCAAAACGACCGGCCCAGATCCGGGAAGTGTGCAGTTACTTTTATTGGCATTCGCAGTTACCATGGCGACATATTTTGCTAACAAATATGCCAAACTTTCCATAGGAAATGAATAGGAGAACACTCTTCACAGAAACTGAGTAACATATGGAGCCATTTTGGTTCAACATGCAAGGAAGGCAGTGCATTATGCAATGCATGGAAGGTACCTATTATTATTATTAATTAGTAAAAAATTATAATAAATATTAATTATAAATTATTAATGTTAATAATTATCTATTTTAATATCAATAATTGTTCATATTCATAAGCTATATTTAATATTAATACCAATTATCTGTGTGAATATTAATAATATTAATTATATTTATTAATATTCTAATAATAATTAATAAATTAACAATGTATTAATACATATTATTTATTGGTAATATTAATAATCATTAATATTTATTTTTAATAATAATTTAATAATAAATAAGCATTCCCCCGTCAAAGTTTCTCCAGGAACTTTCTAGTTGTCATTTGCATCGCGTGTGGTACATAAGGCGGACTGAAATTGTGTACACAGGGTCTCGGTTACATCCAACAATAGCAAAATAAAGAAACAGTAAATAAGTATCTAAGATATAAACTAAGGTACACGCTAAACAAACGTGTAGGGAGTGCGTGAATGTTTAGGGATTTATGTTGGTTCATGATTAGGAACATGCCATCTTACTTTATTTTACTTTTGTGTTTCAATTAAAATTTGTTCTATCTGAGCATGCATCAGGATATTTCTATCTGTATAGTTTTTGTGTTTTCCCCACTCTCTCTGTGTAATTACGTTCTCCATTGTAGATATCTATAAAAGTCTGTTTGGGGAGGTGGAATTTAATTTGTAATTGCTCAAAGGACAAAGTTATTATCGTTAAATAACTGATGTAGATGGATCAGTAGTCTGCCCATTTTTAAGCCACTGTCCAACTTGTTAGGCATGAAAGTTTTTAGATATCTAATACTTGATAGTAGTGAAACTGATTTTGGAAGTTTAAAGACTGTATATTTGTCCTCCAGATTTTAAGGGTGATCTTTCTCCGATCAGCCATTTCCTTATAGCTAGTATATCCATAAATGGTATAGTCCGCATGCTTTTCTCAACGTTAAGCCAGCGGGTGTGAGTGCCATTCTGCCTCCACACTAACAAAGGTTTTATTTGAGCAGCCCAGAAGTAATATCTGAAGTCTGGAAGTTTAGGACCCCCATTGGATTTGCTGAGTTGTAGAATTTTTTTATCTACCTCTAGGGCGCTTTTGTTGCCAAATGAATCTGGAGATCATCTTGTCCAAGTTATCAAAAGTTGATTTTGTAATTTCTTGTAAGTAGCATCTGAAAGAAGTAGAGAGCACTGACCACCGTTCAAGATCATCACTAATGACTCTAACTATTTTAATTAACATCGTGAGTCCTGTCGTGACAAAATTATGTGTATGCCAAGAAATATAATGCCTCTTTTGGCCATTTCTGGGGTTTCACATTGCTTGGGATTTCATCAATGACATCCATAGCTTCTGATTTTTCCACATTTACCTTGTATCCCGAGTATTGTGAGATGAGTTCATTTAGGTGTGGTAATGTTGATGCTGGTTGTGTGTGATATAGAGTAGCACATCATCCGCAAAAAGGAACATTTTATGTTCTGCATTTATGATTATTCCTTTATCGCTAATAAGTTGGGCTAACGGTTCAACGTTGATTACAAACAGTAGTGGAGATAAGAGAGCAGCCTAGTCTGCATCCCCGTTCCAAGGAGTGGAAAGAGTGTGTGACCTATACCTGTTCACTTTAACAGAAGCTTGTGGAGATGATAGAGTTTGTGTCCATTTTATAAATTTAGGACCAAACTTAAGTTGCTTTAGTGTTTGAAAAATATGTTACAACGATGCTCTATTTTCTTCCTTCTTCTTTCGGCTGCTCTCTTCTCAGGGGTCGCCACATAGCAAACTAACTTGCAAAAAAGTTTGATGCTTTTTTTTAATGACTGTTTATTGTTGTGTGTACCTCATTTGTGTGTGTGTGTTTTTTTTTAAACAGGTCTCTCTTGAAAACGAGTTCTTGTGACTCATTGAGACTAACCTGTATGAATGAATACTGTCAGTCATCGGTCTCTGATGAAAGGACCCTCTCCTTAATGTAGCCCATGGCTTTGCAAGGTTCAGGAACTCCTTATCTTCGTTCCTGAACACGATCCAGAGTCTGGCAGGGTAAAGTCCTTCGTATCGGACTCATTTGCAGCCTCGCAGAACCACCTGTACCTCTGAAAACGCGGCTCTGTGTAGTCTGGGAAGATGGTGAAGCCGTCGGCCCTCGTGGGTCAGCGGGGCGCTCTCCCGAGCTCTTCGCAGGATTTCAGTCGCCTCTCCATCACTGTGAAGCTTAGCTATGATCATTTGTGGCCCCTCATGGTCGGCCTTCTGGTAGACATTTGATGTGATTGGTCAATGTTTAAGTTCCGATCCATCTGCAGCACTTCTTTAATCATTTTAGTGACTGGGGGAAATGGACTCCGGACGATCCGTATTTTTACCCCATCCCTTTCTCCTCTCCATGCCCTTGCACCGGTCATTTAAGGTTTTCATTTGAGTTTGCAGGCAGGTCACTAAAGTAGCCTAAAGCGCTGTCACCTCATCAGACCACGACCACAGGCCACGTTTTGCACGTGGACCACTTCGGTCCAGATGTTGGCAATTTCGTCTCACACCGCTCGTAGCTCTAACTTCAAAACGTCAAAGTCATCCGATAGCAAACGTTTGAGCTCCTCTTGTTGGAAATCTCCTCCTTCAGACATAGTAAAGTGTTCGCTTTAGTTCTTCAGCCATACCTGGACTTACACTTCGAGTCGGAGAGCGTTCTTCTGGTCACCTGTCGCACTCAGCTTCGTGGCTGCTCTTGAACTTTTATATATTTGAAGCTTTTCTGCCGTTCAGTTCAATTCAAAGTACATGTTCGTTCTTAACCTGCTGGCTGGAGTTTGTATTTTAATAGCTGTTTTTAATTACCGGTAGAACATTGTTGGTCCGTAGGAGCTCATAAATTCATGACTTACTTCATGTACGGCTCACTAACCGCCCCCCCAGGCCTTTTGTGTTCATAAAAACAGTTTGAGATCTTTAAGAGTTCAGCTCATGAAAAATGGGAGCAAAAACAGAAGTGTTGCGTTTATATTCTTGTTCTGTGTTGGACCAAGAATGGATTCTTGGGGAACTCCACTTCTGATGTGGGGCTGAGGAGGATCTGAGGCCTGGAGAAGACCTGGACCAGTCCAGCACAGAGCCTTTGTGCGAACCTGAACCGAGACAGCTGAAACAAACTGGAACATGACTCGGACATGAACATGTCTTCACTCCAGCACTGAAACCAAACAACAGAAGTGATGGAGGTTCACGTGACGATGAAGGCTCAGGTTTCGTATCTTGTTGGTAAAAACCTGCAGGAAGACGAGTTCAGAACCGAGTGGAGAAAAGAACCCAAGGATTGTGACAGACCTCCACCAGGACCACAGACTTCTTCTCTAATCACCAAAACTCGTAAAGGTTCTGAATCTATCGGAACCGTGAGGCTCGCTTCTGTTCTTTCACTTCATCTCAGCTGGAATTTATAAATGTTGCGTTTTTACCCAAAAACCTTCAATTTATCATCAGACAAGAAAACATGACAATAAATAATAACTAATCAATCAGTCTGAAACTTTTGACAGCCCTGGAATTAATATTTACACAGAAATCAAAATCCAATAATTAAAAAGAAAAAATAAATCTTAAAAATTCATTAAAATAATAAATAAAAAAAACAAGATCAATAAAACGAAACGAGATAAAAAAATTAAAAAAAATATTTAGGAACGTGGAAATTATTTTTGGTGAAAAACTGATGCTTATATTTTATGGACCTCCTGGTCTGAGCCAGAACCACCGAACTGAGGCGGTTCTGGTTCTGCCGAGCCTCGTGAGTCTCAGGGAGACCTGAAGGAGGTCCGTGTCTGAGGAGGAGGAGGAGCACAGCTTCTCCTCCTCTCCGGTTCCTCAGTGTGTCCGGAGGTTCTGCAGCAGCCGGAGAGCAGAACCCGCCTCTGCAGCTCGAACCGGACCTGCTCACCTGAGATGCCCGTCCTCCAGGTGTGACTTCCTGTTTGTGGAAAAGTTCGCTCGGTTCCGCTCATGGCCTTCCCCCGGGGCTTCCTCTTCCAGCCTTCTCTGGCTTTGCCCTTCGGTTCCGGGCTCATCCTGGGACCCAGGACGGAGGAGTTCGGCCGCTCCGGTTCCGGTTCTGCCTTCGCTCCGTACTCAGCCCCGGCGGCTTCTCACCTGCGGTTCGGCTCGGAGCCTCGGGCCGCCGGAACCATCAGCTCCTATGTGGTGAGTGACCGGACCGGGCCGGACCTGGGTTCTGGTTCTGGTTGGGTTTCTGTTTAGATGAAATGTGAATAAAAACTGTTTTATTGAGTTTTATTTTCCTGTTGATTTGAAATGTTCTCATCCTTTTTATTAAAAATAAAACTTCTCATCCAGGAACTCATTTCACATTTTTTATTCATTTGTTATATTTGTATTAAAATATTTTAATTCTTCTGGAAACAAACATTTGAAATATTTATTGACTCAACTCGTACAAATAAAGAATGAATAATTCAATCAGTTGAATTTGTCCAGATGTTTCTCTGCAGCTGTTTTCTGGATCACATTAATTGAGTTGTTTGTGTTTGAACCTTTAAAAAGTCCAGAGAGGAGCTCAGAACCTGCGGGCCGAACCAGAACTTTCAGAGAAAATGGCCCAGATGAAGAAGGTTCTGCTGACGGAGGATTAATCCGATGCTTTGTTCTTACAGAGTCCGAGCTACGATCCGTCCTCCAGCATCTCCGGGTCCTTGGACTACCACCCGTTTGGGCCCCTGGGGCCCTACGCGTACGGGGACCCCACCTACAGGAAAAACGCCACCCGGGACGCCACGGCCACGCTGAAGGCCTGGCTGAGCGAGCACAGGAAGAACCCGTACCCCACCAAGGGGGAGAAGATCATGCTGGCCATCATCACCAAGATGACGCTGACGCAGGTGTCCACCTGGTTCGCCAACGCTCGGCGCCGGCTGAAGAAGGAGAACAAGATGACCTGGACCCCCCGGAACCGGAGCGAGGACGAGGAGGAGGAGGACAACATGGACTTGGAGCGTCACGAGGAAGACGAGGAGCTCGTCAAGCTGAACGATGAAGAGCTGGAGCTGAGGCGAGAGACGGGTGAGTGTCCACGACGGGTCCGTCTGACCGCCAGCTGGTGGGTCCGACCCAGTTCGGCTCCATCAGAACATTCAGGCGAGCTTCATCAGACCGAAGAGTTTTTACTCAAACACTCGTCTTCGTTTTCGTCTTGATGTTTGGACCGAAACACAAAACATGAAATCAGTTGGTCAGAAACTATCGAGCTGCTTTTATTCTTCTCCACGTTTTAATTTATATCTGGGCTCGTTTGCTTTTTGTCTTCAGAACTCTAAATTGAATGATTATAATTTATAATAATTAAAACATTATGGTGCAGAGGCAGAGCAGCCGACTTGGGACTAGAAATTCGCGGTTCGACTCCCGGCGATCCCCACGTGACACCCAATCCCTAACTGCTCCCCGGGCGCTCAGTACCTGCCCGCTGCTCCACCTGGGTGGGTCCCAGGGGTGATGGGTTAAATGCAGAGAACCAGTTTCATCGTTGTACGGGAACATACATGACAACATACATGACAACATATAGCACTTATTAAATTCTTCAGAACTTTTTAAATTTAAACAAACCTTTAAATGTGACATGAGCAGCTAACGACTCGCATCAGATCCTTTGATGGTTCTGTTTTTACGTTTGCTGTCACTTTGTTTGGTTCGGAGGATGTTCAGTTCTGTTCTGACCCGGTTCTTTGCTTCCTTCTCTCCGCAGCCTCCTGTCAGTTGATGTTCCGGGATGACATCAGTACCGACCACGGCCCCACAGATCTGGACTCTGGGGACCGGAGGCTGCCCTACGTCCCGGGCCCTGTCTCTGTATCTGGAACTACTCCTCCAAGCGGGTCCCTGGAGACCCTCGGAGTCTCGGGGTCAGAGTTCACCTCGTTGTCGAGCTCGCCCACTAAGGATCAGCTGGACTCCTGTGGCGCCGTCCAGGGGCCAAACCTGACCCCAAAACCCAAACTGTGGTCCCTGGCTGAGATCGCCACATCTGCAGACAGAAGCACAGGAAGCAGTGACTCCTCACAGAGCAGGGGGCGGAGCTCGCTGTCCCATGGCCCCGCCCTGCCACGGCACCTGTACTACTCCTCCCCCTTCATGTCCGAATACTCGAGCTTCAGGCCCCTGGGGCCCCTGCACGGAGGCTCTCATTTAAACGGATTACAGCAGAAGATGCTGCAGCAGGCCGAGGCGGCAACCCGTGACTGCCGACCGCGGAGTCAGAACCACACGGAGCTGCAGAGAGGCCTGATGAAGGCGTAGACCGCCACCAACTGGACCCGCCGCTGGTGTTGGGTCCACCAGGGGAACCTGCAGCTCCCAGACTTTTGTTCAGGAACAGTTTCACAGCTTTTCTATGTTGATGGGATGTAATCTTTGACGTTTCATTAAAATCTAGTTTTCATAAAAAGGAAGTGTTTGTTGGCGCCGGTTCGTCCGATCACACGACACGCTGGCGGGAGGTTCGAGAAACATCTGACGCCCGAATTTAACAAAAAAAAATTCTCAGTCAAGTCTTCAGGATTTAGACTCCTGAAGGATGTTCTCCCGGCTGTCCAACATGTTTTAGGTCACTCAGAGGACACAAAAAGGACGTTTTATACTAAAGTTTTAAAGTAAAATTTATTAGAGTGAAGTCATAAAATGAGATTTCACTCTCGGTAACGAGCATCTAGATCTGAACGCAGCATTTAAAGGACGTTTTCAGATTCCAGGAGTTCAGGCTGAGACGAATAATAATCATATTAATGTGAGCCGTTGTTTCATTTTCAGAAGATTTTCGAGGATTTAAAGATCAACATTCAGGGTTTCTGTTGGCGCTGAGGGACGTTCTGCTGAAATAAACACAGAACACTTCGGTCCGGGTCAAATACAAGTTTCTGTTAGTTTCCTCAGTAAAAGGCTCCTTTAATCCTCGGCTGCAGAGATTAAAAACCAGAACAAACCAGGTCAGGTTCAGGTTTTCTGCCTCCGTTACACTGTTCAGACTTTTTGTCCCCAACATTTTGACTTGAATCAATATAAGCTTTTTTTTTTTTTTTCCAGATGATGAGACATTTTCTCCAGTTTTTATCAAGACTTTTATCTTCACACTTGAATTTCCAACCCTTTAACCTTTAACTGCTCTCAGAAGAACAAAAAACCTGAAGAGTTTTTATTTCCAAGTTTCAAAATCAAGTCAAGACGGTTTGGAATAAAGTCGAAACACAATTTAAACGTGTTTAACTAAACTCTTGGTGTTCCTGAAGCCCATTCTTTATTTGTTTTGTTTTTATCAATAGTTTCGGGTGAACTTTTACTGGAAATCGTATTTACTTAAACATCGGAGCAAAAGCCAGAAGTTGAAGTCAGTCTGAGACCGACCTTTATTTTAATTAGTTTGTAAGCCCCGCCCCCACCATGTGAACAAACAGGACTTTACCAAAAATAGAAATAAAAACGCATCACAAATCATGTTTTTCACTCTTGTTGAGTTCTTGTATATCTTCATCCCCCCCCCCCCCCCAAATATTTATTTATTGAACATATAGTTATTTCACATTAATAAGAAAGGTCATGTGACTCCATGACGGCATGTGTGGGAGAAGGCGGGGCTTAAAGCTCCATTGTTAGTGCACAGACTCTGGTTCCAAAAATACAACATGGCTGCTCCCTGCGAGGTTTAACTCCCAACAACGAGGGCCAGCTGGTCTGTGATGTAAACAGTTTTTATGTAAACAACAACAGGAAGCATTCTTTCAATCGCTCTGAAGTTTGACCTTTATTTCTCTCTCAGCAGCCAAACTTCCTTCACAATAAGAGTTACCATATTTTCCACCGTACACGTCGCACCGCCATATAAGTCACATCAGTCCAAATATGTCTAATAAAGACGAAAAATCCATAAATATGTCGCTTCACCATGTACGTCGCATCTATTATGCGTCACCGCTGACTCGACGCGTTTGTTACGCGTCACCGCTGACAACCTGGAAATGTGGGCCAAACCCAGAAATGTGGGCGAAACCCAGAAATGTGGGCGAAACCCAGAAATGTGGGCGAAACCCAGAAATGTGTGCCGGTGTTGTGCCAAAAATTGATTGGCTGCCAAATGGTGGCGGCGGGAGCGTGCACAGGAAGACTTTAACAAGAATTTAACAAGATTAACACTTAAAAACAATTATTTGTTTGCTGAAAATTACAGCAAAGGTGTGTCTCAGTCTAACTTTTGCTTAATAAATGCACTTTGAAGGTCAAATCAGCTGCATTTCAAAAGCCGATTCACGGAAGCGGGAGCACGCAGAGTGGCGACTCGCTGTGTATTTCTTCAAAATTTAACAAGATAACCACCTAAAAACAATTATTTGTTTGCTCAACATTATAGCAAAGGTGTGTCTCAGTTGAACTTTTACCTAATAAATGCACTTTAATGGTCAAATTAGTTGCATGTCGCCGGGGTGGCACAGCGAAATGAAGCTGGTTTGACGGTTGCTCCAGGCATGATCCGGAGCTGGACATTGGTGGCAGGGTAAGGCAAGCTAATTGTATCATTAATAAGCACTTTTACCTAGTCAATGACACAAAAGCATAACATACACTCGAGTGCCATAGGGGCTGAAAATGGTAGTGTTCCATATTTTCAACGTCAGAACGAATGAAAACAGTCATATCTCAGTCAAAATTTGGTTTATAATTATGGGGGAAAAATCCATAAATAAGTCGCTTCGGTGTATAAGTCGCAGGGCATGTAAATTATGCAAAAAAACTGCGACTTATAGGCTGAAAAATACGGTATTTTAAGGTTGTGTTCAGCTCCAGATGTTAGTTTCTGTTAATGAACAATAGAGTTTACTCAGACCGCCATTTTGTTTGTCCCAGTCACAGTCGGGTCAGTGGAGATAAAAACAGAAGTGAACTCGGAGAGAGCAACAACTTTGACATGACGTGATTTAGTTCATATTTATTTAAATTATTTAGATAGATGGGTGAGGAAGTAACAGAATATTTAACGAGGTCGTAAAAACCTTTGTTTCATGTCTCCGTATTTATCTGAGAATAAAGCAAAAGTCGTGAATTTAAAAACACGTTAAACAATCAGTTCTTATGTCAAACGTTGCGTTTTGTCCTCGTTGACTTTTGACCTCTTCACGTGACTTTTATGTCCAAAGTCACATTTTCCTTCCTGTTAAAACCTTTTATTTGAAAGTGACAACAAAACATTTGGCTGTTTGATGTTTCCTGATTTAATCACAAACTTTATTTATGTTCTTCTCTTTGTCTTTAATCTCAAAACAAGTAAACAACATATTCCTCAATCCTCTGAATGATCCTAAAACATCACTGTTTGGCAGGAGGGGATAAATGTTTTGTAATATATTGTATTTTAATACAGTTATGTCACTAAAGAGCAGGTAAATAATATTCAGACCAATGGACATAAACTAAAAACATATTTAGCAACATCAGCAGCATTTTCAGTCTGTCCTGTTTATATTGATAGTTTTATTGAATTAAATTGTTTTTATTTTCAATAAGAAACACCTGAAATTTTAGCTGCAGCTGGATGTTAATAAATCAACTATTTTAAATTATTATTATTGTTTCTGAAAATGTACAACAAACTAAAGCGAGTGAAACTGCAGAAACCAAAGTTTTGATGTAAACTTTATGATTTTCATTTGATTTTGACCTAAAAACTTTAAGATTTTGGTAAACATAAATAAGAGGTGATAAACAATAGAGTTTACAGTGAAGTTAAAATTCTGGGAGGAAGTTTGGGTTTAGAAAAAAACAAAATTTTACAAGACAAATCAGCACAAAAACATATAAAAACACAAATGAAACCAAAAATATCTTTAGCTACAACAGCTGCTCCTCTCGGGACCAGTAAGGTACATTTAATCATAAAAAAAGAAAATTATAAAATATTTATTTGAAACATCCATCAGTTTATCTGTTTTGTTTATTTACGTCTCAATACAAACAATAAATAAATATAAAAAAACAGAAAAATTAAGTAAAATTATCTGAGACAGTAAAACTGATTATTCTATTATTTGTTTTTAATAAAATAAATTAAATACACGGGAAAAAAAAACAGAAAAACGTCACATTTTTCCAGGCAAAATGCAGCAAAATTAAGAATATAAAAATAAACATTTTAAAAAGATTATTTTCTCTTAATTAAAGGAAAACGTCTAAGACATGTTGTGTTTGTTTCTGCAGCTCACCTGGAGCACATTTACCTGAACTTTGAGGAAGTGTGAGCTCTTGGCGCCCCCTACTGGCCAACATTAGAAACACACCTATAACCTGCACAGACGTGCATTTGATTAATTTGATTTCTTTAAAAGTTTTATGTACAAAATCACATATATTCCCCAAACTTTTTATTTCTTGTATTATTTTTAACCTAATAAATTCATTTGATTTAAGATTTTGTTTGCAGAAATGCCTTTTTTCACAAACTGAAAAAACAACATACGGGTAGGTCAGAAGGAATTTACCTGCAGGATAAGCTTAACTAAAATCAGAACAAAACAAGAGGCTTCAATTCCTGAAAAGCCTCCGACAAACAGTTGCGAGAGGCTGATGACAACCGATTAGAACCACATATTCACAGAATGGTCAAATTATCGTATATTTGGCCTTTTTTGGGATTATTGATCGTACAGAGGGCAAAATTGTCGTACAAATACGATAATTATCGTACACCTGGCAACACTGTGCGTGCTTTTCTAAACGTTACCTACGAGTGACGTGATGCGTTTGCCTCAGAACAACGGCCATGATTGGCTGAATATTCCGCTGCGCCCGCCCCATGAGTGAGGAAAAGAAAAGAAGAAGAAGAAGAAGCAGAGTCGGTCTGGAAGTGGACCCATCACTACTATAGTTCATTAATACATTTGTTATTTTGGTTATGACGGGTGTACGATAATTTCTCTCAAAATAAGATAATTTTATGTCTCTAGTACGATAATCCTACATTTCTCACCTGGCAACACTGCTGCACAGGAAAACCACCTCAGGCAGACAGAGGCGCTTCTACGACTCAATGTACAGTGTTAACTCTTGGTGCCTCCAAATGGTGGAGTTTTCTCAGAAGCCTACAACATAAGTTTATCTTCAAATGAGGCCTCCCTTCTTGCTGGTGTAATTAACAGAGGTTCCTGGTTCACAGCTGCCGGTCAGTTATTCTCACATACACTAAAACATATTAACTTGACTAAACTAATTCCTAATAATCAATTGATAGTTTTAAACCTTCACAATATCCCGCAACTTTAAGGGGAGGAGTCTAAAGCCGAGAGTCTCTGTTGGGTAAGTTTGACACTTCGTTCCGATTCCGGAACGT